TGATAATGCACGATTTATCAGCACCATATAATTTATCGGCCAATATTATAAAAACATTTATGCATCTTTCATACTGTACATTATAATATCATGATCCATAAATTCCCTTTTAGCATACAAAACATTTATTTTATTTTTTATTGTGTATTAAGTTTTTTTTATTTTTATTTTTTTTTACATAGTAGTATAAATATATAATACTGGCCAATTATTTTTTTATTGGCAATAAAAAAAAAAAAAACAAGAAAAAAAAACAAGAAAATAAAATATAATGAATGAATGAATGAACATGACATCAAAAACTGTCAGCTTGTCATTTGAGCAGGATACCCAAACCGAAACTCTAATGTGTTGCCTCGATGGGTAGATAGTAGATAAGGACGTCTCAGGCTGATGTTAAAGGGTACAGTGGGTGTACATGTGTGAGAGTTCTGCCCCAGGCCCCAGTTTTTAGACCCAGCATATCCACTGAATACAAGTTTCTGTCTAAAAGTTTGGCACATCATTGCTTAGCTCCTGCAGAAACCCACGGATAAAGACTGAGAACTCCAGAGCGAGTTGAAGCATCCCTAGGGTAAATCATCTCCATTAGTCTGGTGGAAGAGCAGTATCTCGCACTCGGAGCAGAGTAATACCCAGCATGCTTCACTCTGACTCTAATCAGCAGGACGTGGATCTCTAAGGCCTTCAGCCCTGCTGCAGTACCATCTTTCTCTGTTATCAAGTTACATCAAATTACGCACATGAAATATTAAGTGCTGGACACTCTCTTGCGCTGCTCCGTAGAAGGCAAAGAGACAAATCACTGATATCCAAAGAGTGCAAAGTGATGCAAACATGTATTTAGACACTTAACAGGATAGTTCACCCAAAAATGAAAATTCTGTCTTTAATTCCTAATCCTCATGTTGTTCCAAACCTGTATGAGTTTCTTTCCTCTTCTGCAAAAAAGAAGATATTTTGCAGTTGACGGTAGCCACTGCAACATTTGACGGTTGACAGTTGACGGTAGCCACTGACTTCC